AAGATTGAAGAGAAAATTTGTGGTTAAATCATGAATAATGACTGTATGAAACAAGAATGGTAAGGTTTTAGCTCGGCACAGTGGCTCATGCCTATAACCCCAGCACTCTGGGAGGCCGAGGTGAGCAGATCACCTGAGATCAAGAGTTCAAGACCAGTCTGGCCAACATGGTGAAACCCAGTTTCCACTAAAAATACAAAAAAATTAGCCAGGCATGGTGGTACGCAACTGTAATCCCAGCTACCTGGGAGGCTAAGGGAGGAGAATCACTTGAACTCAGGAGGCGAAGCTTGCAGTGAGCTGAGATTGGGCTGCTCCACTCAAGCCTGGGCAACACAGTGAGACTCCATCTCAAAAAAAAAAAAAAAAAAAAATAGAATGGTAAGGTCTTGAGGGGTTCAAAAAATATGTAAAAGTAAAATGTACAACAAAAATAGCTTAAATGTTGGGAGGGAGTTAATGGAGTTAAGTAATCTAAGTATTATCACATATAAAATGATATAAATGCTAATTTACATTGACTTTAATAAGTCAAGGATGTCTGCTTCAATCACTAGAGCAACAACTAAAAGAACAATAGTAGAAAAATATTAAAAATAAACAGAATGGAAAACTTATAATAAAATTCCTTAGTTAAAAACAAAAGAAAGCAAAAAAATAGAGAAAAAGACAGCTAAAAAGAGAGAAAAATAATGCAAATAGATGCTAAATTTAAATTTAAATATGTCAATTATTGTATTTCATGCAAACAGATAAACACTCAAAAAGATAAAGATTTTCCAAACGTTTAAAAAAACAAACCCAAATACATGTTATTAAAAAGTCCAGGCCGGGCGCGGTGGCTCAAGCCTGTAATCCCAGCACTTTGGGAGGCTGAGACGGGCGGATCACGAGGTCAGGAGATCGAGACCATCCTGGCTAACACGGTGAAACCCCGTCTCTACTAAAAAATACAAAAAAAAATAGCCGGGTGACATGGCGGGCGCCTGTAGTCCCAGCTACTCGGGAGGCTGAGGCAGGAGAATGGCATAAACCCGGGAGGCGGAGCTTGCAGTGAGCTGAGATCTGGCCACTGCACTCCAGCCTGGGCGACAGAGCGAGACTCCGTCTCAAAAAAAAAAAAAAAAAAAAAAAAGTCCTTCAGATGGAAGCAGAGACATACAAAAGAATAGAGAGAAAACTTTTGGGTAAATCATGAATACTGACTGCATGAAACAAAAATGGTAATGTCTTGTGGAGATATAACTTAAATATAAAGATACAAAAAAGGTTGAAAATAAAAACAAAAAGAAAAAAGTTGTCCTATGCAAACACTGACCATAAAAAAATACTAGTGTTGCTTTACTAGTATTAGACAAACAGACTTTAAGATGAGAAGGTGAGAAGGGCATTATAAAAGGGCCAATCCACCAAAAATATGTTAACAATTCTTAACTAGTATAACAATATACTAGTACCTAACAATATAGCATCAATATGAAGTAACAATTGACATAACTAAAACAAGAAATGAACATAGCCATAATCACAATGGCACATCTGTAAACATCTCTCTCGGTAACCAATAATGTAAGACAAAAGAACTTTCTCAGTAACTAACAATTGAAGACAAAGGAGTAACAGCACAGGACACATGAACGACATGATTAACTTAACTCTCCTCCAGGACCTAGCAAAAGAAGAGTAAATTAAACCAACAGTTAGGGTTAGGAAAGAAAAACAAAGGCTAGAACAGAGGTGAAAGAAATAGAGAACAGAAAAACTACTGGGGAGAACAAAGAAACCACAGGTATGTTCTATGAAAAGATCAACTAAACAGACCTTTAGCTGGACTAAGAAAAAGAAGACAGAGATAACTAAAATCAGAAATGAAAGTGGAGATAAATACTACTAACCTCACACACATAAAAGGAATTACGAGAAAATACTATGAACAACTATATACCAAAAAAAGTAGACAACCTAAATTAAATGGACAAATTCTTGGAAATATGTTAATTACCAAAAATGACTCAAGGAGAAATGGACAATCAGAACAGACCTACAAGTCAAGAGATTGAACAATCAAAAAAACTCCCAACAAATAAAAGCTTAAGAGCAGATGGTTTCATTGCCAAACATTTCAAGAAGAATATTCTCAAACTCTTCCAAAAAAAATAGAAGAGGAAACACTTCACACCTCCTTCTCGGAGGCCAGCATTATCTTCATAACAAACCAGAAAAAGACATCACCAGAAAAGAAAACTATAATCCAATCCCTTATAATGTAGAAATTCTCAGCAGAATACTATCAAACCAAACCCAACATCATATTAAAATATTTTACATTATTACCAAGTGGGATTTATTCCAGGAATGAAAAAAAGTTACATACTACACGAATCCATTTATATGAAATTTCCAGTATAGATATATCCATAGAAACAGAAAACAGATTGGTGGTTATAAGGGACTTTAACCGTTTATGGAGGTATGGGGAGTAACTGCTTAATGGGTATAGGATTTTATGTTGGAGTAATAAAAATGTTTAGGAACTAGATAAAGGTGATAATCACACAAGACTGTAAATGTATGACATGCCACTTACTTGTTCATGTTAAAACAGTTCATTTTATGTTACTTGAATGCTACCTCAATAAAAATTTTTACATCTCTGTTAAAATTCCAGCTGTCTGTCTTGCAGGCTTTAACAGCTGATCCCCAAATGCATATGGAAATGCATAGGAACCCAGAAAGCCAAAATAATTTCAAAAAGAAGAGAGTTAGAAGATTCAAACACTGTGATTTCAAAGCGTACTCAAAGCTATGTTAATCAAGATGGTGTGGTACCACCATAAGGACAAAAGTGCAGATCAATGGAACAGAACTGGACAGTCCACAAAGAAAACCCATACACTTACGGCCAGTTGATTTTGTCAAGGTTGTACAAAGACAATTCAATGGGGAAAAAATAGTCTTTTCAACACATGGTACTGAGACAAGTAGTTATTCACAGGCAAATGAACATCTCACATTGTCCACAAAAATTAACTCAAAACTGCCCAAAGAGCTAAAACAATAAAACTCTCAGAAGAAAACATAAGGTAAATCTTTGTCACCTTGCATTAGGCAATTAAATATGACACCAAAAACATAAGCAAAAGAAGGAGGTAAAAAAGATACACTGGACTTTTTCCTAGTTAAAACTTTTTGTGCTTCAAGTTGGCAGCTTCTGAAAAAGTTAAATATAGAATTACTATATGACCCAGCAATTTTACTCGTAAGTGTATACCTGAGAGAACTGAAACATATATTCACAATAGTATTACTCGTAACAGTCAAAAGCTGGAAACAATGCCAACATCCATCAGCTGAAGAATGAATAAAGAAAATGTAGTATATATCCATCCAAGAGAATAGTATTCAGCAAAAGAGATGAAGTTCTAGGCCGGGCACAGTGGTTCACGCTTGTAATCCCAGCACTTTGGGAGGCTGAGGCAGGTGGACCACGAGGTCAGGAGTTCGAGACCAGCCTGGCCAATATGATGAAACTCTAATAAAAATACAAAAATTAGCTGGGTGTGGTGGAGGGTGCCTGTAGTCCCAGCTACTCAGGAGGTAGGAGAATCACTTGAACCCGGGAGACAGAAGTTGCAGTGAGCCGAGATCACACCACTGCACTCCAGACTGGGGAACAGAGGGAGATTCCGTCTCAAAAAAAAAAAAAAAAAAAAAGATGAAGTTCTGATTCATGCTATAACATGCACTAACTTGGAAAACATTATACTAACTGTAAGAAGCAAGACACTATTGGAAGTTCTGAAATGAGATAATACACATGGTCATACTGTTTTGTAAATAAACTAAAAGTCACTGAATTATATACTTTAAAAAGGAATTTTTATGCTATGTAAATTATTTCTTAATTTTAAAATGGAAAGGATGAATATCTATAATTTAATATGTGTAAGATGTTAAAAAGTAAACAATAATATAAGAAAAAAGGAAATAAAAGAACAGAAATTAATAGAAGAAATGCCATAAAATAAGGATGGCAAGTATTCCAAAAATTACTTACAGAAAAATTTAACAAAAGTGACAAATTAATGGAAAGAATAAGAAATAGGCCAGCCACAGTGCTCATGCCTGTAATCCCAGCAGTTTGGGAGGCCGAGGTAGGCAGATCACCAAAGGTCAGGAGTTTGAGACCAGCCTGACCAACATTGTGAAACCTTGTCTTTACTAAAAATACAAAAATTAACCAGGCATGGTGTTGCACGCCTGTAGTCCCAGCTACTCGGGAGGCTGAGGCAGAAGAACCACTTGAACCTGGGAGGCCGAGGTGGCAGTGAGCCAAGATCGCAACACTGCACTCCAGCCTGGGCAACAGAGCCAGACTCCATCTTAAAAGAAAAAAAGAAAAAAAAAAGAATAAGAAATAAAAATATGCATTCTATTACTAGGAATGAAGAGGGGGACAACAGTACAGGTCCTACAGAAAGTATAGAGATGACAGAATATTATGGGCAGTTACACAAAGTCATTTTGAAATTTTAAATGAAATGTACAAAGTCCTAAAGAAAATACAACTTAATAAAATTGATAAACAGAAAATCTAAACAGTCCTATAATTATTTATGGTGTTTGATCTGAAATATGAAACTCTTCCAGAGAAAAGAAAAAGAGGGCCTATTCCTCTTACTCATTTTATGAAGTCAGCATAATACTGATATTAAAACTTAAAATCATTAAAAGAAAGAAAATGACAGTTCGCATCTCTCTTGAACAGAAATGGAAACACCTGCCTCTAATGGGGACTCCGAGCCGGGGCTATTTCTGGCGCTGGCACGGCTCCAAGAAGGCATCCGCATTTGCTACCAGCGGCGGCCGCGGCGGAGCCAGGCCGGTCCTCAGCGCCCAGCACCGACGCTCCCGGCAAACTGGGGCGCGCACCGCAGGCCGGCGGCCGAGCTCGCGCATCCCAGCCATCACTCTTCCACCTGCTCCCTAGAGAAGGGAAGATGAGCGAGTAGAGCTCGAAGTCCAGCCAGCCCTTGGCCTCCAAGCAGGAAATGGACGGCACTGAGAAGCGGGGCCGGAGCAGGCCGCGCAAGCAGCCTCCGAAGGAGCCCAGCGAAGTGCCAACACCTAAGAGACCTCGGAGGCCGACCAAAGGGAAGCAAAAACAAGGGTGCTGCCAAGACCCAGAAAACCACAACTCCAGGAAGGAAACCAAGGGGCAGACCCAAAAAACTGGAGAAGGAGGAAGAGGAGGGCATCTCGCAGGAATCCTCGGAGGAGGAGCAGTGACCCATGCGTGCCACCTGCCCCTCACTGGAGGAGCAGCTTCTTTCTGGGACTGGACAGCTTTGCTCCGCTCCCACCGCCCCCGCCCCTTCCCCAGGCCCACCATCACCACCGCCTCTGGCCGCCACCCCCATCTTCCACCTGTGCCCTCACCACCACACTACACAGCACACCAGCCGCTGCAGGGCTCCCATGGGCTGAGTGGGGAGCAGTTTTCCCCTGGCCTCAGTTCCCAGCTCCCTCCGCCCACCCACGCATACACACATGCCCTCCTGGACAAGGCTAACATCCCACTTAGCCGCACCCTGCACCTGCTGCGTCCCCACTCCCTTGGTGGTGGGGACATTGCTCTCTGGGCTTTTGGTTTGGGGGCGCTCTCTCTGCTCCTTCACTGTTCCCTCTGGCTTCCTGTAGTGGGACCTGGGAGGGATCCCCTGGCCTTAAAAGGGGCCGAAGCCCCATCTCATCCTGGCCCGCCCTACTCCACTGCCCTGGCAGCAGCAGGTGTGGCCAGTGGAGGGGGTGCTGGCCCCAGCATTCCCCCAGCCAAACTGTCTTTGTCACCACATGGGGCTCACACTTTTCATCCTTCCCCACCTTCCCTCGTCCCTGCACTAGGTTGGGCAGCCCCCTTTGGCTCCAGGAAGGCAGGAGGGGTGTGTCCTTACTCCCGCTTCACTGTGGCCACAGCCCCCTTGCCCTCCGCCTGGGATCTGAGTACATGTGGTGGTGATGGAGATGCAGTCGCTTATTGTCCAGGTGAGGCCCAGGAGCCCTGTGGCCGTCACCTGAGGTGGGCTGGGGCTGCTCCCCTCACCCTACTTTGCTTCCGCCACTCAGCCATTTCCCCCTCCTCAGATGGGGCACCAATAACAAGGAGCTCACCCTGCCCTCTCGCAACTCCCCTCCTGCTCCTCCCTGCCCCCCAAGGCTCTGGTTCCATTTTTCCTCTGTTCACAAACTACCTCTGGACAGTTGTGTTGTTTTTTGTTCAATGTTCCATTCTTCGACATCCGTCACTGCTGCTGCTACCAGCGCCAAATGTTCATCCTCATTGCCTCCTGTTCTGCCCACGATCCCCTCCCCCAAGATACTCTTTGTGGGGAAGAGGGGCTGGGGCATGGCAGGCTGGGTGACCGACTACCCCAGTCCCAGGGAAGGTGGGGCCCTGCCCCTAGGATGCTGCAGCAGAGTGAGCAAGGGGGCCCAAATCGACCATAAAGGGTGTAGGGCCCACCTCCTCCCCCTGTTCTGTTGGGGAGGGGTAGCCGTGATTTGTCCCAGCCTGGGGCTCCCCCTCTGGTTTCCTATTTGCAGTTACTTGAATAAAAAAAAATATCCTTTTCTGGAAAAAAAAAAAAAAAAGAAGAAATGGAAACATCTTTTAAATGGTAATATACAAAAGAATCCCATGATACATAAAAAAGATAATGCATAGTGACCAAGATGAGTTTATTGGATGAATAGAATTTGGTTTGTTTTTCAAAATCAATGCAATTCACCATATTAGCAGAATAAAGGAAATCGTATAATCTCAATAGATGCAAAAAAAGATATGATGAAAACCCAATAGCCATTGATAATAGTCACATAAAGCTAGGAATAAAAGGAAAACTCTTCAGTATGGTGGAGTATTAAAAAAAAAAAAAAAAAAAAAACTGTAGGCAGGGGGCTGGGGCTCACACCTATAATCCCAACACTTTGGGAGGCCGAGGTGCGTAGATCATGAGGTCAGGAGTTCGAGACCAGCCTGGCCAAGATGGTGAAACCTGTCTCTACTAAAAATACAAAAATGAGCTAGGCGTGGTGGTGAGCACCTGTAATCCCAGCTACTCGGGAGGCTGAGGCAGGAGAATCGCTTGAACCCAGGAGGCAGAGGTTGCAGTGAATTGAGATCGCGCTACTGCACTCAAGCCTGGGCGACAGAGTGAAACTCCATCTCAATCAATCAATAAATATAAATAAATTTTTAAAAAATAAAAACAGACCCAAACATGTAAGGATACTTAATTTATGACAAAACTGACACCGTAGAACAGGACAGGGAAGGATTGTTTTTTAAAAAAATAAATAGCATTGAGTCAAATGGATACCTATTGTAGGGGGGAAAAAAGTCCCCACTTTAATGACTTTAAAAAAATTATAGACTTTAAAATGCAAAAGTAAGGAAAAACAACACAATATCTAGGAAATTACATAAGAAACTCTCTTCATGACTTTCTTAACCAGGATAAACTGCACTCACCAGATAAGGACACCTGATAAATGGACTACATTGAAATTGGCTACTTCTTATCAAAAGTCATGAGGCAATGGAAAGAGAAGACATAGAGCAAAAAGGGACGTTTACTCCTATCTAGAATACATTTAAAAATCCTATAAACCAATAAGAAAAAGACAATGCAAAAGAAACATTGACCAAAGCCTTGAATGTTCTTACATGGCCTTGAGATTTTCTGGCACTATCCACTAATGATGACTGAATGCAGCACACCCAATGAGGCAGCACTTCCACTCCCAGATACATAGTGAACATCAGTTACTCCACGTGTGTATCAAAAAACATGTACAGAAAGGTTATTAGTGCAATTATTCATCATAGCCCCAAACAGGATGCAATGTGAATATCCTTCAATAGGAGAAGGAATAAATCGTGGCATACTCATATATTGACATAAAGCAATGAAAATGGATGAATTCCAGCTGTACACATCATGAATGAATCTAACAAACAGACATAAAGAAAAAACACATATATCCACAAAAGAATTTAAACTGTGAGGATTCCACAACGTTGAAAACCAGGCAAAGCTACCTTATGGTGTTAGCAATCAAAATAGCAATTATTTTTAGAGAGGGGAGGGGCTAATGGCCAGGAGAGAACTCTGAAGGTGCTATTAACATTCTATTTCTTGAGCTATTTGCTGGCTGTGTTCATTTTGTAGTAATTCATCCAGCAGTTCATGTAAGATCTGTGCTCTTTTCTGTGTGTATGGTATACTTTAATTAGAAAACCTATATAAAAATTATATACAGACTATAGGCATGTGCCACTGCACCATGTATATATATTAGTATATGTAATAATATATATTATTTTATTATATTTATTATATTATATTTGTTTTATTATATTTATTATATATTATAAATTTATATTATAAATATTTTTATATTTTAATATATTATTATATTAAAATATATTTATTGATTAATAAATATTATATTCTATTATATTATAAATTTTATATTATAAAAATTTATTATATTATGTATTATAAATTATAAATATTATATGAGATATATTATATATAATAATATACATATAAGGTATTGGGAGGAGGCATTCAAATTTTTTAGTCTTTTTGTTTTTTGTTGAGAGACAGAGTTACGATCTGTCACACAGGCTGGAGTGCAGTGGCACAATCACAGTTCACTGTACCTGGAAGTCAAACTCCCAGGATCCTCAAAAGATTCTACCTCAGTCTCCTGAGGAGCTGGGATTACAGGTGCACACCACCTTGTCCAGCTTATTTTTTTATTTTTAATTTTTTTGAAGAGATGGGGTGTCACTATATTGCCAGGCTGCTCTCAAACTCCTGGCCTCAAGCGATCTGCCCACCTTGGCCTCCCAAAGTGTTGGGATTACAGGCATAAGCCACTGTGCCTGGCCTAAAAAGTCTTTATTTTTGAGACAGGGTCTCACTCTGTCGCCTAGGCTCGTGTGCAGTGGCACAATCTTGGTTCACTGCAGCCTTCACCTCCCTGGCTCAAGTGATCCTCCTGCCTCAGCCCCCCAACTAGCTGGGACTACAGGTGTGTGCCACCGCACCTGGTTAATTTTTATCATTTTTTTTGAGGTAACAAGGTTTTGCTATGTTGCCCAGGCTGGTCTCAAATACCTGAGCTAAAGTGATCTGCCTGCCTCGGCCTCCCAGAGTGCTGGGATTACAGGTATGAGCCACCACACCTGGCCCTAAAAAGTCTTTATATGTTGTATACAGAAGTATTCACGGATAAAATGATATTATGTCTGTTATTAGATTTTAAATATTCCAATGCCTTCCCTACCGCCCAAACTGGGAAGACAGACAAAGCCAGAACTCCAGAATGCTAACGGTTGTCAAAACTAAGATGATGGTTACAAGGAATTGGTTGTATTATTGTCTCTCCTCTTGAGTACTATAAAAATCCACGATAAAAAGTTTAAAAATATATAGTCATGAGTTAAGAGTTCTGTTGCTTCTAATTAGGCAGCTTTCAGTGCTACATAGACTGGATGAGGTTATTATAACCGAGGACTACAGCTCTTAATTTCAATGATTTATCTTGACAGTTGCAATTCAAGACATACTCTAGTTGAGGTTGTGTCAAAACAAGATAAAGTGGTCTCCTAAAATATGGTACTGACTTACTAGTAATCAAAGAAATGCAAATTGAAGCAGTAATGAGGTACTATTTGGGCTTATCAAATTGGCAAAGATTTTTTTTTTAAACAGCAATATTCAGTGCTGCCTAGAGTTTAGCACGACAGGCATATTTGTTCATTGATGGTGGGAGTGTAATTCAGTACTAACGTTTAGAAAAGTAACATAGCAAGATGATTAAAGAATCTGAAGAATATTCACATCTGTTGACCTAGTAATTGCATTTCTAAAAATGTAGCTTATGGACATGACAAAAATTATGAAGAAAGACTGATGAATAAGCATGCTTATTCTAGCTTTACAATAATGAGATATGACAAACTCCAGATGACGACAAGAGGTGCAATCCCTAGGAATGGCTAGATGATTTATGATATCACCCTTTAGCTCACACTATTTCAGAACAGTGGTCACGAACCCCAACATATCTGAGGAACATCCTCCTAACAATAGCAGGGTTCAGTCTAGATGTGACTCTCAGAAAGAGAGCGAAACTTTCTTTTTGTACCTCGTTCCCATTGAGAATAACTGTTTTAGAGGAGTATTTGTTGACAAGCAGTAACTTTTTTTTTTCTTTTTTTGAGACAGTTTTGCTCTGTTGCCCAGGCTGGAATGCAATGGTGCCATCATAGCTCACTGCAGCCTCGATTTCCCAGGCTCAAGTCATCCTCTCACCTCAGCCTCCCGAGTAGCTGGAACTACAGGCACATGCCATCACATCCAGCTAATTTTTTTGTGTATTTTTTAATAGAGATGTTTCGCTATGTTGCCCAGCCTGGTCTCGAACCACCTGCCTCAGCCTCCCAAAGTGCTGGGATTACAGGTGTGAGCCACTGCTCCTGGCTTTAAGGGGTAATTTTTATGTTACAATGATGAATTTTTTAAAAGCTGAAAACAAAATTATACATGCAGTATGGCATTAATAATATATCTACACCAAAAAAATAAGGCTTAGAAGGAAATACAACAAAAGTTTTGAGATCAGAAAACATGTATACACACACACTTTTTAACAGTATTGATTCTTAAGATGAGATTGGTTGGGTTTAACAATCTCTTGATATGCCTGATCTCTGCTATCCATTATAGTAGATACTTAAAACTCTCCTGCTCGGCCAGGCATGGTGGTTTACGCCTATCTATAATCCCAGCACTTTGGGGGACCGAGGTGGGCGGATCAACTGAGGTCAGGAGTTCGAGACCAGCCTGGCCAACATGGTGAAACCCCATCTCTACTAAAAATACAAAAATTAGCTGGGCATGGTGGCGCATGCCTATAATCCCAGCTACTCGGGAGGCTGAGGTATGAGAATCACTTGAATCCAGGAGGCAGAGGTTGCAGAGAGCTGAGATCGCACCACTGCACTCCGGCCTGAGCGACATAGTGAGACTCTGTCTCAGGAAAACAAAACAAAACAAAACAAAACAAATCCTCCTGCTTAAAGATCAGAAATTTGGTAGAGAGTAGAAAGACTTGCCTTGAGTTCAGTAGAACCTAAGAAGACAGTGACATCAACTGAAATGTAGGACAGTGTGGCCAGAGTTTGAAGAGTCATGTACTCTACAGGTTACTTACAACAGGAAACACAAAAACAGAGCTTGACATCCACCCAGTAACTCGGTTAGTGTGCAGGAAGATATCACCTGTGTGAAGGAGTAAGCAGAGGGTGAAACCACAAGAAGATATGAGCGCAAGAAAGCAGAGAAGTGCAAGATGCACAAAGAAGAGGCTCAGAGCACTGGCAGCAGAATGTGAAAAAGAGGGCGTGTAAGCAAAGTAACCATGTAACGGCAGAAATAAAATTCCCACAAGAGGCTACAAACATTTAAAAAGAAGTAGTATTTACACTTTGGGAAAATCAAATGAGTAGTATGGAGCAGCGTTTCTTCATCCTTTGGAGGTTGGGAGAAATTAGAAGGGGGTGCTTATTGACATTT